GCATGCGCAACGCCGCGATGAGCGTCAGCGTCAACGCCGCCGCCAGGGTAAGCGTTAGCGCCCGCTGCTTCCCATCTACACATGGTTCATTTTAGCGGGAGATGGTGTAATTTTTCTCTTCTCCTCTCTTCACATCTTTGCTACCCTCTCGAGATTCTCGTACAGGCGCTGAGCCATGGTCGCAACTAAGGCTGGAAAAGGTGAATCTTTTCCTCCCCTCCACATCTCATTTTTTTCCCCGTTGATCATTAGGGTAGTGATTGGAATGTAGGCGTACCACTAAACGTCAATGAGGTTGAATCAACGTTAAAGTGTGTTGTGTTTGCAAACACAAATAGACATTGCGTGAACAATTAGAACAACGTAAAGTAAGCACTTCACTTCTGCAAGTACATGTTTTAGCTTACAGTTCTCCTGATTCCTATTCCTATGACGGAGAGACCAGTCAGGGTTTTTTTCCTAATTATTGTCCGCCAATATTTGTGGGTAGGCGTTTCACTGCCGGAAGTGTTCACGATTCTAGTTTGAAAAACCACCTTTACTGTGAGTGCGTGTATCTTAGAGCGATGCAACCTATGCAATATTCGATGAAAATACCATAGTGATTTTCTTTCACACGTAGGAACCTTGGCGTCTCTCGTACAGTTCACAGTTCAGCTGTACGATTCCGATTTATATGTTGTGAATTATTACGCGAGGCCTACCATTTACCGTAGGACACTGATTATTTCTGTTTATGCAGTGCATTTTGCATGTAGGATATAGGCAAAAGCAGCTTAAAGCTCGATTGTTGTGCTTATAGCACAGAAGATGTTGCAGCGTAGTGGCTGTGGCAGGCTGTTATTGCACTAATTCATTCGGTATCAGAAGCGAACTGCTGAAATGCGCAATATCTCTGTCACATGACCACTTGAATTACTTTTGACGAAGGATGATTCTCTGATTGATTGATATGTGAGGTTGAACGTCCCAAAAGCACCATAAGTTTTTGAGAGACGCCGTAGTTGAGGGCTCTGGAAAGTTTGACTACCTGGGGTTCTTTAACGTGCACTGAAATCTGAGCACATGGGCCTACAACATTTTCGTCTCCATCGAAAACGCAGCCACCAATGCCGGGAATCGATTTCATGACCTGCAGGTCAGCAGCCGATTACCTCTGCCACAAGACCACCACGGTGGGCTAAGAAGGCTTCTCTGAAAAAGCGCTTCGCCCGGGGACACATGAGAGCGGGAAACTTTTCTGTCGAAATTAGTAATTCCTGGAAACAGCATTCGCCAATCTCTTCCACATCAGTAAGTGTGTAGCTTAAAAACCACTGAGTATCAGAAATTATAAGTCAAGGAAAAATTTACAAACAATTTCTCTCAAACGGGCCAAATGAGCTTATAAAACACATCTCTCAGAACATGTAATATGCCTTTTAAAGTTCATTTCCTTGAGAACTATTGTAAGCATGCTTACAATAACCTAGTACTAATGAGCTGCAGGTCGTTGTCTCAGTAATACGTGGCGGCACTTAGCGTGTCGCACGCGCCATCGAAAGAGGCACGGCATTATAACATGTATGGCCAAAGCCGGTGACCCAACTCACGGCAAAAAAAAAAATCGCCGTATATCCTCAAAGTGAATAAAAATGAGTGGGCGAAGTCTGGGCAAATCAGGCAATCCTCTGCGCTTCCTCTACGTGGTTCAAAGCAAGTAAGTGCTTAGGTTTGAGTAGGTAGCTGTAGCCGTACGTAGAACTCATTGCCACGAGTTTGCCTGCCACTTGGGAATATTTACAAGCCGAGCAAACCACGCACTTACAGTGAGTTTCATAATTGGTGGGAAACTCTCCCTGCAGCGTGGCAACGGCATTGGCGTGGGACCATTCGTTCTGGATATTGACAATTTTTGTCAAATGGTTGTCGAACCACAAGTGGTCGTAAACTTTAAAGTTGTGCTCAGAATTTTGGTGGACAAAATCGCGCTACGGGGACAACTGCGCGTGGTTTAAACCACACGTAGCCGTAACCAAGCTCCGGTAGCGACAGCTTTCCACGTTTCGCTGCCGCTTCCCACGCTCTCGCCGCCTCCGGGTCGCCTTGTCACCGTCGACATGCCACTGCAGATTCGAAAGCCCTCACAGCATCGGGGTCAGCTTGCCGGTTTTGCCGCTTCACTGCAGCTTCGAGACCCGCAACTCTGGATCCGCTCATCTACGTTGCCGTGCTGCGGCTAATCTGCGAGCCCTCATCTGGGCATGCAGTTTGGCCGCTTTGTGTTTACTGTCTTCACCATCGAAGAGAGAGATCACGCGCCTGGAGACGAGCGACAGCGAAGTGACCCTAGCAGTTTCCACTTAAACAAAGAGCACGCTGCGGAAGTGAGCACTTCGTTGTCTTCGTGGTCAGATTGCGCACTGGGATCAAGCACGTGCCGCAGCGTCTCTAGCGGACTCTCTAACTACTTTGTCTTGTGAACGAGGGACAAGACTCAACCCTAAGAAATCCTCCCCCTCCCCGTAAAACATCTACAGTGATAGCAGAAGAACATTGGGTTTTATATGTCGACACACGTTATTTTGTTTCGGTTGCTTCTGTTAAGAAAGTAAGCTCCACGATTAAGTTTATGCGTTCAAAAGAAGAGACTAAAAAGAGATGGTTGGTGTCGTGTGGCTGTGTGCCGACGCCTAGTCATTAAATGTCTTTGAACTTTGTAAGTGAAAACGCATTAAATAAAAAAAATTCGGGTACTCGAGTGGCAGCCGTATATGTAATGGGATAGTCAGGGTGAACAGTGGGAGTACCTCAGACAGACTGGCCGATGTTCGTATAAAAGAACCCATCTATGTCAAAGGCCTGCTATAGGTCCTCCTATCGAAACGTCAGCCAGCCTGTCCGAGGCACTTCCACTCTTCACCCCGATTATCCCACTGAGTCGCATAATCGTGCTCCCATCTTGATAGCATCGGCTCCCATCAAGATAGCGGTATGAGAAAGTAATCCGAAGGTTGCAGGCTCACTACCTGTCAATTGATTTGTATTTTCATGTAGTTAGCTCTCTTGACATCTCCACCACAATTACGACAGTACACATAAAAAACTGTAGTATACGTTGCCTATAGCTGCGTTGGTTTCATTACATGCTAGTTTTATTGCGATCATGTGATGACATTGTAGAAACCTGAACACGACCAAGAGTGGCACAATAGGGGAAGCAGCTGCCAATACAACTAAGACAACGAGACCGCCTCCAAACTTCGCGAACTCACTCTACAATATCTTTGGCACGTAAAAGGCACGAAACAATGTAGCCCCCCCCCCCCCCACAAGCACGCACGCTTCCAGTTATAATACGCCAATGGAACGACGTACTTTTAATAGCACAAGCGCTATGTCATATTTGATCTGCGTTATACTGGAATGGGGGCTCTATATAGTTGCAGGTCATGAAATGAGTGGGTATGTTCTGTAAAGACTCAAATTTCTTAGGTAAACTTGATGAGGTGATCATAATGATGAAACGTATTCTAGTCGCGGACTAATAATTGTTATTAGTAATAACAATATGTGGGGCTCGTTATGACAGACATCGTAGTGGAGGGTTCCGGAAATTTCAACCACCTGGGGTTCTTTGACGTGCACTGAAACCTGAGCAGACGGGACAACAGTATTTTCGCCTCCATCGAAAATGCAGCCGGGATTTGGTCCCGCGACCTTCGAGTTAGCAGTCGAGCGACAAAGCCACTAGACCACCGCGGCGGGTTAGCGAGCTTGTTCACAGCACAATAAATTGGCCATTTGGGCATAGTTTAGTACAATTACCTTAGAAAAGCGAACTTTCTATAAACAACAAATTTGAAACTGTTTAATTTTAAACATGAGATCTCACATATTTTCAATTTCGTATGGACCCCATGTAGCTATGGGAGAGGTAGGCGATAAGGAGACGACCGTTGTCTTCAGCGCTTTGTAAAACTGTGGCGCTATCAGAGCAGTTGGAGCACCTCAATCCTATTTGATAATTTATGTAGCCAGCTTTTTTACTACATCGGAGTTGATGAAGAGCGAAATAATTAGCAGCCGCCAGAAGCCACTGCGGGACATGAAGCGCACAAAGAGAAACTCTGGCGCATACACCCAGTCTGCCGCTTCACTGCAACTGGATAGTACAAGTAGGTGCCATAAAAATAAGAGTGAGGATGAAGCATCTCACACAGCAATAATGCAAGGAAAACTCAATGTAATTATACATTTATTAGATACTTCTATACAGGCACGGAAAGTTTTTGATGCTCATGTGTGTCTTGCACGAAAAACGTTACTATTAAGGACCTCCATGGAAGTATCATATACGCTGAGCTCTCCAGTGCCATGCTAATGTTTAGTACTATTTTGAGCGTTACAGTACTTGCAGTACGTAGGCCCACCGTAATTTAGCTCAACAGTGATCTGTTATTATTAGAAAAGTCGCAATACTGCGCCTTTTACGGACGCTAATTTCACTAGCGCTTCCTAGAATTCACGGCTTCTGGCGCAAAAAGGAAATGGAAGATGCGCGACTGCATGCGTTGCCAAGTGTGGACGATGCTTGACGCCCTGAGCAGAAGTGCAACGAGCATACAACTTTTCACACAGCAGGCACTTGTAAAGCTCGATACAATTTAAAAAGAAACGGAGTTCTATAAACAAGTTTTAAGTCGTGTTAAATGCATTTTACAAGAATTTGGGCATGTTAACGTGACCTGGAACTCTTCATTAGACTCTATATATAGCTTCAACTTAGACTGTCTTGGCCGTAAATTGTTCACAATCATGACACGCTATCCGGAACGCCTTGATTGGGATTGAAAGCACTCATGTTACACCGGAATTGTTTGAAAACATTTTAGTTTGAAGTACAGATGCCCTGAATGAATGAAATATTTTGTGTGATTCATATTGATTAGTCTAATAACCATGATATGCATCAGTTGGCAAAAAACAAAATCGCACTACATACTGCCGTCGGCTCTTACATGAAGCGGCTGCTGAGAACGATGTCGTCAGTGAAGCCATGCTTGATGAAGAAACGCCTGCTAACGGTTGGCGCACGAACAAGCAGGGCATCATAGGGTCCTATCACCGACGGGCTCTTGATTTGCTGCGCATAAAAAAAGAAACACCACCCATGCGCCGTTAATGCGATCACAAAAACACTCGCAGGGTCGTTTACGCATTCTGCTGAAGCAACTCAAAGGCTAAATTATTTGCATTTTTCTTCTCAAACAATTTGTCGATCCTGCCGTGCAACTTTTGAAGAGTTGTCTGCGCCTAACGTGGTCCACGAAGGTATTGAAGGCAAAAAACATGAAAAAACACAAGTTGAACTAAAGAAAAGAAGCGCTGCCTTAACACTGAAGTCTATTGACAGGAAATGGCGAGGTTTTATTGTACACCAAAACGCAAATGAAACAGCGAAACGAATGCATAAAATAACGAAATATCAACTGATGAACAATTATCACCCTGAAGACAAAATTCATACATAAAAAAAGCTACCTCTTTCACATGAGTTTCACAAAACTACGATCAAACTGTGGAGAAATTGCCCATATATGATGACAAGCGTGCGCATGGCTGCTGCTGATTTATTGCCGGCACCAAACACTTGCGAAGAGAAGCTCTGCTTAGTAGGTTAACAGATGGCTGGCTGACACACGTAGAAGCATTTTTTGTGCATTTAAATTCATTAATTTATTCATTGATTCATTTTACGGACAACTTCTTGTGGTAAGGACAAAAGAAAGGGGATTCGCCTACTAACTTCCATAACTAACGCTCCCATTTTTCTCTCGTTATTTTATTTTCGGTGCCGAAAAAGCTAGATTGTTCTGTTAAGTTCAGGGGTGCACCCGGACTATCAAAAGTGACGCCCGAGGTGTAAATAAGGCGCTCATTTTTGGAAGCTGTGGGGCTCCCTTAGCCTAACATTCTACAGCGGCGTCTGGCATATGTAGCAATGACCACAGGAGAAAGAGACGGGTGTGTCTTCTGGCACCAAAACAAAATAGCGAGAGAAATAAGCAATAATATTGCCGCATTTTCTCCTCAATTTTTTGTAATCACTCCATTCCACTAGTCGCGCATACCGTGACTGAAGTGTTCGAGAAGCTTCAGGATTGCAGTTGATCATTTTGTTATTTTGTTAAAAAGACGCCCACTTCTTGAACATTACAAATTATGATGAAACCTACGCGACCAATAGCAATAACGCTAGAATATTCACCAGCACTAAATGCGACGCGCTTTGCTGCTTGTCAGTAGATCGACGGCTGACGATCTGTTTGCCGCTGTCAGCGCCAGTGTGCAACTGTAATCTGGCTTTCCGTTTACTGTCCACAAGTTTGGCCATATAAACTTTTTGACATGAACACCGAGTCTGCTCCCTTGATTAACGTCATGACCCCGTAACATCCGGTGGATGTGCTTCCCAGCCCATGTACTGAACGCCCTCCTCCAGCCGTGAGCTAAGTCCACACCTTGAACGAGGTCACGACGCCAACCTCGATCAGCAAGCTAGCCGCAGGACATGAGGACTACATTGAGAGTACGGCGCTCTATCCTAGCAGACTGGCAAACCGAACGCCACGACCACTACGGCAACAACTATGGCAGCCCGTGTGCCAACGCCCATCACGGTCGTAATGCAGCAGCGAAGGGAGCCACCAACCTTCCGCATGTCATCAGTTGAAGACCCGGAGACCTGGCTAGAGACGTACGACCAAGCTTCGTCGGGCCTACGTCTACCAGGAGGACGCGGCAAATACCTAGCTCGAGAACAGGGAGTCCACCATGACAACATAAGACATCTTTCAGGCCAGCTTTCTTGCCGTGTTTGCAAGCGTTGTACAAAAAGAAAGAGCCGCTGCTTTGCTGGAAAGATCGACGCAGCTTCCAAACGAAAGCGTCAAAATCTTTGTGGAAGAGACGATTCATAAGTTCAGCCACATCGACGTAGACATGACCGACGAGAAGGTCCGTTTGCTCATGCTATGAGTAAAAAAAGACATCTTCGCATTGCTCGTGTGGAACCTACCCAAAATAGTTCAATAGTTTTTCTCGGAGGCTACAACCATCCAAAAGACGCGTGAACTGCGTACCCACCGGTACAATCACCGAGCGATGCAAGACAGTGCAGCCATTCACACCCTCAGCTCCAACGACATACGTGAAACGATTCGACAGATCGTGCGGCAGGAGCTAAGGAAGCAGTTGTCTTTGTCACAGCCTGAAATAGACTCGATTGCCGAGATTGTTCTTGAAAAATTTTGGCAATAGCTTAGAGTTTCCGAAGCACCACAGCCTCAGGCAGAAGCTATGGGCCACGCTGCTGCAGATCACCGTCCCAGTTCCCCTCAACGGCAGCGCCAACACGCCGCACAATCATACCGTCACCATGCGACGCCGCCGCCACTACCACCATAGCCAAACCGTTCGATTGCTGGATAGCTGAGTGCGCCAAGGAAAACCAACGTTAGGTGTGCCCCTGACAACCGACCGCTCTGCTACCACTGCGGGGAAGCAAGCCATACCTACAGCCGCTGCCAGTACCGCCAGATAGGCCTGCATGGTTCGCCGTCAGGCCAGCACCTCCCAAGCGCGGTGAGAAAACACATGATATTACCGGCTACCTCAAAGGAGTGCAAGGGACGTCCCGACGACCTTTCCGATATCATTCGCCAAGCTGCTACGCCTCATCGCACTACAGCCAGTATGCCGGTTCTGTTCGGGGCCAACCTACGAGCCCTTACTCGGAAAACTAAGGGCAGCCACCGATGGAGCTGTGGTCGCAGTACGACGAACTACCGAAGATCCTCCACCGCTGACGACGACTGGATGAAACCTTAAGTACTTGCCGCAACCTGCACGCAGCTCGGACGTCGAAATTTCGCGGCGAGAAGTCATGATGACGCAACGTGGTAACAGTGGGGCAAACTGACGTAGCTGTGATCCGACGCAAGGATCAGACCACAATGCAAGACGACGAACAAGTGACCACGACGTTCTCAACGACGGTCACAACGCCATCACTCTCATCGACACTGGTACCGACTATTCCGTCATCAGTGGACCGTTTGCCGCCAAGCTAAAGAAAGTGAGAACGTCTTGAAATAAGCCCGAAATCCGGACTGCCAGAGGCCACTTGATAACGCCGGTAGCAGTTTGCACAGCCAGAGTCGCAATCAACAACCGGACTTATCGTGCGAGCTTTGTTATCCTACCACAGAGCTCCAGGGAGGTGATAATTGGGATTGGCTTCCTAAGTAACGATGGTGCCATCATAGACCTTGAGTATGAATACACAACACTTACCTTAGAAAGCCACTGCCCTACACAGCGCCGGTGAACCACGCTTCGAGTATAATAGAAGCGCCGGTGAACGTGACGGTTTCTTCAGCGTCATCATTTCTGCTGGCACCGAAAAAGCCGAAACCTTAAAGGCGTCATCGAGGGCGATCAGCACCCACTTCTGAACCGGCAGATTTGTATTGGACAAGTTTAACCTTTTTAACTTATCCCAATTTACCCAGACCTGTCACATTCAATATAAAAATAAACTTGTGCAATTTATAACTGACAAAGTTCTAGTATACACTTTTGTTTCTTGTTTAGATCACACTGGCACATAGCTTCATCAATTCTTGCACAGCCAATAATTGTGAAGCTCTTCTTTGTGTTGTCTTAATTCGTGGTGTTTAGCAAACATTCTGAAACTCCATGCTTTACTGCCTTTTTCAGATTTATTTCATCACTTTGTGAGTGCTGCACCAAAGGGTCAGTCGGCTGAGAAAATGAAGGAAAGGACGAAGTAGTTTGGCTGCCACTTTGCGGGGAAGCTCGCTGACGTTCAGTCAGCATAGTGGGAACAGTGTGCAGCGGCAGCATCCTGTTTTCTTTTACTCTGCATATATTGCATTGTCATCTGTAAGCTTGTGCAATAGTTGAAAAATACACTTTCACATAAAAGCCAGTGTCGCGTTGCTTTCTGCGCAGCTGTGAACTGTTTCCACTCACAGCTTACACATCTATACGTGTAGATTTAACACCCCTGCAGCTTATCAGTATATTAAACCTATTTCTTTTAAAGGCTATACAGCTATATTGGTGTATAGGTTTATCTGTCAATAGCCTAATAAACCAATAAAGGCTATCTTGACCCATATAATGCACCAATAAAAACGCTATCTGTGTATCAGGTCTATTGTTCCGTAAGCGAAAAAACTAAAGCAAAAGAAACTAATACGAGTATCCTATTGAAGTTTTCCCTAGGGCTGTTCGTGCCACGTTATACTAAATTTGGTATATGTAAACCTTGACAACGGCAGCGAGTGTTCAATGAGCGTAGCCTGTAGTCATGTTTTACTTTACACGCATTGCATGAATAATATGTTTAGACGTATCAGACTCTGGAGTGGATGGATGGATGGATGGATGCTATGAGCGTCCCCTTTATAACGGGGTGGTGACAAGTATGCCACCGGGCTCGACAAAAAAAAAACCCTTTTTCTTTTTTTATGTTGGCCTAATGCCTCTACTTCGATAAATTCTATCTTAATGGAAAAAAAGGTAAATTTTCAGCTTAAGTTCTCTGCCATTTACGGCACACTGTCCATATTTTATTTTTCCAATATTTATTTTTGTCCTTTCTCTCTAATTTTCTGCCACCAATACACTAACCGTCTCTTACTTATTTCAATCGCGGGTGTGTTCAGCTTTCCATTGTTGTCCCTAAAACCCAAGGCTTCCTGTAGGCTCGTGCCCAAACGTACACCTGGGTGGATATCTCCACATTCAATGAGAACATGCTCCGCCGTTTCCTTATCTTTCCCGCAGCATGTGCATTGTTCTTCTTCTTTACTGAATCTTGATTTATAACTACGCGTTCTAAGGCAACCCGATCTCGCTTCAAACAGTAAAGCGCTTCCCCTTGAATTATCGTAAAATGCCTCCCTCCTTATTTCATTTTTGCCCTTTCGGTAGTTACTCAAAGCCGGTTTTTTCTCCATAGCTGCCATCCAGTAAATCCTCTCCGCCTCCCTGACTTTTCCCTTAACGCTCTTTGTTGACATATGGCTTACAATACCAGCCGTATATTACTAG